GATATCTGTGTGGTGCGATCGGTCATCTGGTCTTTATGAATCCTATAGGTCACTGGAGTCTCAATCTGAAGATCAGCAGATTGTTTTCTAGTGCTACTAAAAATGGATATGAGGTTTGCGTTTGATTTATGGGCTCTATGGGAACTGATGCACAATTCCCTTCTTCAAGAACAATTTTTAACACTAACCGTGTGTGTGTGTGTATGCGTGCAGGTGATCCATCGACACTTCTATATGAAGCGAGCGGAGATCATGGCGCAGTGCGAGGGCTGGATCTGTGATATCCAGCAGTACAGCAGCGATAAGAGAGTCGGCCGAACCATGTCTCATCACGCAGCTGCGCTAAAGGTACGACACTGTCGTATATACCAATGAAAATTGGGTCATTTCTTGTCTTTTGGAAAACTGAATGTGTTTTTTTAATTTTGCAGAGGCACACAGCTCAGCTCAGAGAGGAGTTGTTGAAACTTCCCTGTCCTGAAGGCCTGGAGCCGGATGGGGAGGAGTTTTCCGAGAAAAGCGCCTCGCTCATGGTGAAAGAGCTGCCCGTTCAGGATGCAGACAAGCAGACGGACAGCCCAGACGCCCACTGTAGCGACGGACAGCTATGATCCCCCTCTCCCCCTGAAGCCCCGCCCACCGCCTTTGACTATCCATTGATATTGAGAAAAGACTGGATGGCTTTGGTGATTTAAGCCATCTTTTTGTCAATATTTGTATGTAAGAAATCTAATTATGTTATAGCATAAAAAGAGAGGACAGACAAAACCAAGAAAATACAAGGAAATGAATCCGCTAAAACCCACCGACACAAGACGAACCGCTGAAATCTATGCTGCGCCCTGGAGAAAATGAGAGATGAGAAAAATCTTTTTATTTACTTGTAAAAGAGTATACATTTTTTTTTGTGCTTTTTTTTTTCTTTCTTTATTTTCCCAAATTGTTAAATAACCACTGATTGATATGTTATTAAACTTGTTTATGTAAACAAAATGAAAGATGAAATCACAGTATATATAAGGGAACTGCCTTTAGTGGAGAATGTTTACCAAATGTTTTGTTAATTTTTTTTTTTATTTTATTTTATTTTGGACTGTTAGTGCAAGGACAGTTTGTACGTGAGAATATACTGGTCATTCTTTAAGCAAACTATTTAAAAGAAAAATGTAACACGCTCCCATACCCACTCTTGAGTTCCCACAATCCTCTGGTGACCCTCTGACAGTGCTTTTGGTTTCTACAGACTTGTGTACACTTCAATAATAAAGCCTGAATCCGACGTTCCTGGATGCTCGTTCAGGCTGATCAATAGCACGTTTTATTTTTGCCCTCTCTCTGCTTTTAAGTGCAAGTTTAATAAATGCAACCTGTTTTACTTTGCTTGGATATACTAATTAATGTGGTTCTGTAGATTGTGGTGAGTGTTTTTCCTTGTGTAAGCAGAATTCACTTTTATTTCTCACTTTCTCTTAGTTATAATGGAGGCTGAGCGATGATCAGTTTTAAAATCACTATAGCTTACAAGAGTAGTTTTTTTTAAAGGGATACTCCACTTTTTTTTAAAGGGATACTCCCCCAGAGTTAAACAGTTGATTTTTACCGTTTTACCGTCCATTCAGCCGATTTTCTGATATTTAGAAGAATATCAGTAACCTGGTCTCATTGACTTGTCAATGAGACCAGAAACTGTCTGGTTACTGATATTCTTCTTAATATCAGAAATGAACAGGTGTTCCTAATAAATGAATGTGGACGTCGAGGACCAGCCGGTCGCCTCACAAATGTGACCAATGGACACTCCGCTGGACCATCCCCAGGATGAGGCCAAGCCTCTGGTGGAGTGTGCTTTAAATCTGATGGGCCAGCATTGGACCAATTTCCAAACCAAAGGGGTTGGGCCCCATTTGGGCTGAATCGAGAACTGCTCCCAGAAACGAGATTCCCTGGCTGGAAAACAGTGAGCTCTTAGCTGTATTGATCCTGAGTCCCATGGTGACCACACCCTTGAATTAGGGAAGCCTGCGAGCGTTTACCTTGTTTTACTGTTTTCAACACCCAACTTGAATCTCCGGGCATGGCTTCTCAAACCTCGGCCTGTGGTTCGTGTGGCAGCCCGCTGTTATGGGAGTAAATTTGTAATGTTTTGAGAAACTTAAAACTCATTAGTAAGTCATTAGTAATGATGATTAGTTATCAAAACAAAATTTGTAATATTATGTAAATTAATTTGTAATTTTTTTGAGAATATAGATGTGATGTCGTTTGAGTGGAAGCCTGCTGTGTCTGGGCCTGGCATTTGTGGTAACTGTAAGAGGAAAATAGCTCTCTTTTTGTTGTTTGAAAAAAAAATGTTTGTTTTTTTTATATTGTTTGCTATAACAGCGATCAGTTGCATGGGAGCGTGAACATGAACAGACCCAAAGCTTGCAGCAAACACATTGCTTCCAGGACCCTATGTATCTATGGAATGGAGGAGTTGTGTGTAGAGCAGAGCCTGCTTGTCCAGCCGAGGTGTAGGCAGAAGCATGAAACACTGGACCTCTGGGAAGAACGGTGCTGTTCTCTGACGAGGGCGCTGCTGGCACCCGGCAGGAACCATTCGTCCAAGCAGCTGCGTTTGGGCTACTAAGGGGTAGACCACTCTAATCCAAGCTCCTCGATTGCTTTTGAGAGGACGCAGATTAACTCCGCATCTATCCCAGCTCTAGCATCGCTTTAAAATTTGGCGGCAAGGGGACGGGGTAATCCAGTGAGCCTCTGCATTTGAATTCCCTAATGACATGAGGTTGTCAGGAAGATCCTTTTCAGATCCCCCGAACAAGACTAGGCTGCTCGCAACAGAAGAGGAGTGCTGGTTTGGTCTAAAAAAGTACAGGGGAAACCTCTATTTGGGGAGAGTGAGGCATGCATCCCGTACTTTGGCCAGCATGAAGTCATTCGTGGCCAACTGCTCAATCTTCTGCTCAGGTTCCTGGGAGGAAGAGAATGGGAGAGCAGGAGGGTTGGAGCCGCTCTGTGAAAATAAAGCGATCCGCGAGTGAAGCTCATGCTCTCAAAATGAGAGCATTCATCCCAGTGAGTTCAGCTTCTGTGTGGGATATCTCCAGACAGGCTACACACTCCCTGTGCTCATCACAGCACTATTGGGACTAGGGACTACAGTTGTAAATTAGCCAAGTCATGTTTATTAATGTGAACTGTTCCTGTAACTCTAAACTGTAATAAATTAAAAAAATAATAAAATCATGGCACGACATTTGCAGCTGGACATTTACTCTGAATTTGCTCTTAAAGCAAACAGAATGAACAGAGCGATATCGTCCGCTGGTGTGGACGCTAATATATTTACCGTTGTTGGTGTGAATGTGCCTTTACACAAAAAACACAAAATCACACAAATCAGGCTTTAAAACAGTAGACAACATTTGAAGTGGATCAAAACCTTTCATCAAAGTTATACATGAATTTTGAGCAATACCCCTTCTTGTCTTAGGACAACTTTGATGGACTTTTTTGATCCAAATGTTGATTATTATATTTATACCCAATTTAATTGAATAGCCATTTTTCATACCTTATTTGAGGAAAGAGCCATGTGTAAATATAAAGATATTTGGACTATTAGTTCTGAAATTCATCCATACATTTTTTGAAATGAATGAAAAAAGATTTATTCAGTCTGGCGTCACATTTACTGTATATCTTGAGATAATCTGAAATGGAATAATCTTCAATTTTTCATAAAATCTGTGTTGTGGATCTCTCTCAAGCCTTAGCAAGAAAGGACAACATAAGAAAACAGAAATGCGTGATGAGATGCGTTCTGTTGGTCTAAATCTCAGCATTTTAGAACAGATATTGATCAGTCTCTGAGTGTTTCTTATCTTCAGATTGGCAGATATGTAGGAATCCCACTGAGAAACACGAAGGAATGAAGGTGTGTGAGCATAGCGGCCCTTCCATTATTAATCAAGTGTATTTAAACCCCGAGCGTGATTGTGATCCTGAGAGCTGAGCAGTCATGGCTTGACATGAGCTTGTATTCACACACGTGTACACGCTCCAAGCCGTTAGATGGATCCTCCCCAGTTGGCTGTAATTGCAAGGTCATGATGTTTTTCTGGGAGCCGTACGTGAGCAGTGGGGCTGTATCTGTCCTCTCTCTTCTGATTTATTATGAGGACGTGGAATCCACAACCACATATCAGCATTTTCTTTTATCCTGCATTGAAGATTTGATTGTCAACAGAGCTGTTGTTCTCAAGGCTAGTATCCATCTTTTAAACTAGCACAATGTTTAGTGTGCATGTTCAGGTAATATAACGGCTCTGTGACATTTAATGGGATACTTCACCTCTGGAAAGATGAATGTGTATTTAAAACGGGTCTTTTATAGAAGAAATGCCAAAATGTCCGGGATTTGGCTTTTGTGTTCTACAGTCGCCATTCATTATGTTTACTGTGGCGAGCAGGACGAGGCTAAGGCCGCGGAAGAATGGCGCAAGGCCGGTGGCGTGATTACCGATGAGCGACACCTGTGAGACGCACTGGTCTCGTATCTCTCACGAAGGATTGGGAATATTTTTAGCAATGTTAAAACGCACATCAACCGATCACTTGTTTAGCGTTCATGTAAGCACTACATTCAGATTCACCAATCGGAATGAATTCAGTTAGATTAAAACAAAAGGTGTGCGTAAACAATGAATGGCGACTACAGAAAGCAAAAGCTGAATCCTGCACAGAGACGGCCGGACATGTCGGGGGAAAAGAGGATGGTAACCCCAACTACTCGGCTTTCTCCACACAACAAGAGCCTGCTAGCTTAGCTTCCAAAAAAAAAAAAAAGATGGCTGACACTATGTGTACATTCTGTGAGTGAGATCCCACCCTCTATGGGCGGGTTGAAAACATGCGGGACAGCCCCTACTACTGACTGTAGTCTTTAGCCTCTGGCCAAAAATCCTCAGATGACGCAAAATGACGATTTTTTTCCAGACAAAAAAAGACATAAATCTCTAGTCTCAGGGGGATATGATGAGGGTGCAAAGCATTGTAATTCGAACTACAGGTTTTCTACTAATACAAAGCTTAATGCTAAATTCTGAAGTATCCCTTTAAGTGTGTGGGTGCTCTGCCTGCTGACTGTTTGTGTGTGCTCCCATGTGTTATGAGCTGATAGTGTGATTGTTTATTTGTGTCATTGACATGTCATGTAAGAAAGGGTTTACAGCGTGTTGTTGAGTGTTAGTTGCATTTGAAGATGGATCCATGTAGCCGCTCAGAACCACAGGTCAAAGAAAAGTGATTCATCTTTCTGTTTTATTTGAATTCGTTCTCATTTTAGCTTAGCCTAAAATCATAAAGTCATCCTACCGTCTCTATATCTTTTCTTTAATGAATGACATGACATGATTAGACTATATCGATGTAGACAAAAACACCGTCACAAATTCAATAATGAGTGCATTTACATGTATGATATCTTACAACCAAGTAATGTTAAAACATTATTTTAGTGGGGGATGGTCATAAAAGGTTTTAGCAAAACCACATCGGCATATTTGCCCATAACCGAGATTTCGCTCAGAATAAAACTACTTTAATGCATGGGTTGGGCAAATGTCTTTTTTACATTTTGATATCAAACTCAATGAGGTTTATATACTATGTTGTTCAGAGTGGGAACAAAAGGTTCTTGAAACTTTCATGTGAATCTCTGACATTCATCTCTTAAAGGCAAGGCTCTCCACATCGCTGGATCTTGAGAAGCCGCCGCCATTGAGAAAGCAATAAGCCAGCTTAGGACAGTGCTTGATGAAGCCGGCCGTCTTCGCCACCTTCAGCTTTCTGTGCGAGCTACGCTATCCAGCGACGTATCCTTTTTCAAAAAGCCTTTTTCTATCTAAAAGAGCCACACTTCCTGTGGCTACCGGAGCCTCTGGCCATTGCGAATCACTCACCGAAGTCCCTCCATCGAGCCTCGCATTCTCCGCACCCCCTCACCGAAGCGCAGCCACCGGCCACGCCCGCTCTGCCAGCACATCTGATGATGAGGTGGAAGGACTTGCTGCAGGAGACAGCTGTTCCAATCTGGCTTCAGATAGCGAGGATTGGTCGAGTTCCCATCACTCCACCTCCTCAATCCTGGAATCTTGCAGGACCCGCGCTGGAGAGGATGCTGAGCTTATGTACCTCTTCTCATGGTGATAAACCTGTTCCTGCCTCGTTCCTCGTGCCATCTCTGCTGCAGGCCGCCCACTTGACCAGCCACCTGCACGAGCCACTACACAGTTCCTTGCTCAGCTCAGACAGTCTTTGGAGTGACGGAGCGGCCGCCCCAGATAGCGCTCTGCCAACCGCCACAGACTAGTCACAGCAATCGGGACATTACATATGAAACAGACGGCCACTACTGTCAGCGAGCAGCCATATTCAAGCACAGAGAGCGTGCACACCGCGCCCATTCCTCCGCTTCAGTTTCTCGAGCCTGCACAGTGTGGCGACTAGTTGCACATATAAAAGCATGGAAAGCTATTCCAGGAGTATCAGAATGGGTGCTAAACGCACAGCCCACGATGACAGTGAATGCAGAGGTACTGTAGCACATCTACTCTGATCAGATTTAGCAAAGCTGCTGTGCAAAGGGGCCATGGGATCGGTACCGCCTTCTCTGAGCGAGTCAGGCTTTTACAGCCATTATTTTTCTCATACCCAAGAAAAACGGGGCTCTCAAATCTATATTCTGATATATAATCTGAGACAAAACTCTCATGAAAAGACCGTTCAAAATCCTTACGACCAGACAACTCCTTGCGCACGTTCGCCCGAGGGACTGGTTTATCTCTCTCGATCTGAAAGATGCCTATTTTCAGATTCATATAACACCCTGTCACAGGCCATTCTTGAGATCCTTTGGCGGTCAGGTTTATCAATACAGCGTCCTGCCGTTCGGCCTGTCTTTAGCACCCCGTACATTCACGAAGTGCATGGCTCTCGCATGCCCTCAGTTCTCCCTTGAGAACTGAGGGCATGCGAACTTTCAACCATCTGGACGATTGGCTGATTCTGGCGCAGTCAGAGACAGAGATATTATCTCACAGAGCAGCGCTCCTCAGTCATCAACTGGACCAAGAGCTCATTACTGCGAACTGGACTCTGTGGCCATGACTGCTCGCTTATCAACACAGCGGGCGCGCGTCTTTCCAGAAGGGCAGCAGCACTCCTCTGAAGACATTCCAGAGGATGGTGGGCTACATGGCTTCAGCTGCTGCGGTACTTCAGCTGGGGTTGCTGCGCATGCGCCCTCTGCAACTCTGGCTGGCCGCTCGTGGGCTCACCTAGCTTGGGAGTCCGGCTGCGAGCGGATCAGAGTGACTCAGAGCTGCATTACAGCTCTGCAGCCCTGGTTAGTGGCCAACTGGTACCAGCGGGGAGTGATTAAGGGAACTGTCTCATACCAAAAGTTCATCTCGACAGACGCGTCCAACTTAGGATTGGGCGCTCTCTTCGAGTACAGACCGGTCTTTGGCCTGTGGTCAGACCAGGAGAAACTCCACTATATGAACTGTCTGAAACCGATTGCGGTCGAGAATGCGCTGAAGCGTTTCCTCCCTTTCATGTTCTAGTCCATTTGGACAACATGTGTGTAGTGTCCTACGTGAACCGTCAGACCCAGAAACCTCTGCAATCTGACACAACACCTCCTTGTTTGGTCTCAGCACCATCTGCGCTCGCTGAGAGCTGCGCATGTGCTAGGCCATCTGAATGAATGCTCAGACACACTGTCCAGGGACAATGTTACCCCGGAGGAATGGTCCTGCACCCCCAAAAAGTCCAGTTGGTAAGGCGCCAGAAGTCGACCTCTTTGCGTCACAAGACAACGCTCACTGCCCAAAGTTGATGTGTGAGTCTTGAAGCTGACTTTTGCTGGTGAAACTGCAAACTATCTTCAGTAAATCTTTTCTTTAATTTAGTATAATTCTGACTCTGACTCTTCATTCATCATATCTGGGTCTGGGTCTTAAGCGGTTTACCCCTAACACTAAGGTGTTTCTTAGGGTGTTCTGGTTGGTTCCCAGAGTGTGGCTAATATCTTCCTTATTGACAAAAGAGTTTAATGATTCGGGTCATTATATATAACTTGGGTCCTTCCTTTAGTGTGTAACATTTTATTGTCCATCGGGCAAAAAGTAATATTATCAGGTATCCATAGCATGTTTACATTATCATTAATATCCATATCCATAGCATATTTCCATGTAATAAAGGGCTTCCCCTAATCCCTAACCACAAGTATGTGCATTGCAACAGTAATAATGACGCTTTCCTCAGCAAACACTATTAAAAAGAAGAGAAATTAAAAGAAACGCTTCAGATCTGAGGGGAAAGTGAGGATGTGTTGCAGAAATGAACAGGTTTTTATTATCTTTTATGAGGGTTCAATAAACAACCGTTGCTGTATTTTTTCTTAAGACTGCATGGATGTTGTTTTTCAGTATTTTTCTACCGAGAGATTTTCTCTCTGCCTTTATCTTTCAGTCTGTTGGAAGCTATTTCCTCTGTGTTCTCCCTCCTCTCCTTCTCGGGGTGGTGTGTTTGTGTTGAAGTACGGCTCTTTGTGCCCTGCAGGTGTTGCCTCTGTTGTGTCGGACTGGTGACACGCTTCCCTTTTGTTCCCAAACAAGCCGCAACAGTCAAATCCGCAGATCCAAGACCTTGAAAAATGGCCTCAATCATTTGAGGACCGGTGTGCAGTTGACAGTTCAGTAAATTAGACTCCAGTGGCCACTGAGATAAATCACTGTGAGGGACTAAAGACGTCCTTTTACTTTTTCACTATTCCAGCAGCTACTCGGAGGTCTGAGCCCATCGATCGCTGGTGTGGAAATTCACACAGTGCTTCAGATTTAAATAATGCAGATTGGGAGGGAAAGGGGAGATGTAAGCAAAAAGAAAGAGCTACATCCACTGTTCTCAAAAAATAATGGGCAGTCAGAGTTACCCATGTGTGTTGTGCTTTCATGAGTCTGTTGAATCATTTCAGTGTGGTTTTCTCTTTTGTTTAATATGAGGCTTAGTCACTGACAATGTCCAGGAGCTGTAAACAACACAAAACTCTCCCCAAGTTAATATGAAGGAGCTTAAGTATATGTGCTTCTAACTGCTGACTGACTTTTATTATGAGTGATACTAGACGATGCTGATGTTTCTGTTGTCCCTCGGTGTAAACATGGTATAGTTCAAACCATTTTGTGTTGACTTTACCTTCAGAAAAAGTCCATTTACTTTTGTCCTTTTTTGGAGAACCGAGAAATTTGAGTGCAGCAAGTACAATGCTGCCTTACATTTTTAAGTAGTCAGCTTGGATGTTTGTCATTGCAACTTAAAGCTGCAGTCCATAACTTTTTGGGGTTAAAAATTATCCAAAATAAATTTTTGAGCAAGTACATAACCAGCCAGTGTTTAAAACTATCTTCTTGCCTTAGCTCAATTCAAAATGGTAAGCTTTTAATATTCAAATGTTTTTAATTACATTGGTACTGATGGATTTCCGCGGGAGATTCGATGTCTTTGCGTCATTACGTCACATCTGTACACACAAAGAAGGAATGCTTGTTCGACTTCATGCAGCTCTGCACAGACCGATCGGTGGCTGACTTGAAGCAGAGCATGCCGGTCAGAAATTTTGTCCCAGCGCTGCTGACACGTAGAGCTGCATGTAGCGCTAAACACGTAAGCCTATTTAAAATGGATTTAGATAAGTAAAAGAAATTATGGAACTTTGGGTGTCTTGTTTATTATATTTATTTTCATATAAAAGCAGAAGAAGTTAAATTACATCCAGTTTATTAGCAATACCGTGCACGGGCATGAATCTCGTGAATCCTGCAAAATATCCGCCTTTGATCTCATCATGTGCGAGAAGAAAGACCGAACGGCTTGCCTGCGCATTTTTAACTCCTCCCCTCACTGCAGCTGCCTACTTTCGACTATGGCTAGCCGTTTTAGCTTAAAGGGTTAGTTCACCCAAAAATGAAAATTAAGTCATTAATTACTCACCCCCATGCTGTACCAACCCCGTAAGACCTTTGTTCGTCTTCGGAACACAAATGAAGATATTTTTGATTAAATTTGAGAGCTGTATAACTACCACATTGGCTCCTAAAGGACTGCCTCTTGACAGCCCAAAAAGTCAATGAAGAAAATGTTTAAATATCCCAAGTGACTACCGTGGCTCAACTATATGTTTATCAAGCGACGCGAATACTTTTTGTGCGAAAAAACAAACAAAAATAACGAGTTTATTCGACTATTTCTTTTCTTCCTTGTAGGCCAAAACGAGAATTCCTTAGATTTCCACGACGCATGCCCGAGATTTGCGATCTGCTTACACCGCTTACACTACTTCAGATCGCAATTCTTGCGCATGCGTCGTGGAAATCTAAGGAATTCTCGTTCTGGCCTACAAGGAAGAAAAGAAAGGGGAGCCAATGTGGTAGTTATACAGCTCTCAAATTTAATCAAAAATATCTTCATTTGTGTTCCGAAGACGAACGAAGGTCTTACGGGGTTGGTACAGCATGGGGGTGAGTAATTAATGACTTAATTTTCATTTTTGGGTGAACTAACCCTTTAAATTGTATCCAACCTTTCTCGCCGAGACTAGACTACATTTTAGGCGACTGAAATAGACTATATTTAGAATAGACTACTACATTTCAGGCGACTAGAGGCAAGGCGCATCTCAAACAAATGGGAATTTACACTGGGAATTTAATAGTTATAGGCTACTTATATTATTATTATTATAACATTAAATATTAGCTATTCAATTTTATGTTCTGGGAACATTAGTTTTTGGTTTCCAGAACGTTCCCCATTTCTTACCCAGGAAAGTTTTCTTAACGCAAATAGAAAATTCCCTTAAGGTTAGGGTAAAGTTCTGGAAACTTTATGGGAACGTTCCTTTTAGGTTATAAAATAGAACCTAAAAATAACTTACAGTGAACATTCCCAGTTCTCCTTAGGCTATAAAATTAAACCTAAAAATAACCTACAGGGAACGTTCTTAGAACATTCTTATTTGGTTCCCAAAAAAAAAATAATAATAACCAAACGGGAACCATACGGGAACGTTTGGGGAACATTCTTTGGATCTTTATTTTTATTAGGCTAATTTATTTTTTTATAGGCCTATATTATTTTTGATTATTTATTTTTATTAATTTATTCATTGTTTCAATCCAACTGATTTGATATGGTCTACAATTAGGAAAGATGGCTAGATCTGGCCTAGATATCCTAATCGTAGACCAAATCAGTTTGGTTGAATTTGAGAAAACAATGAATAAATTAATAAAAATAAATAGGCCCTACTGCAAGACCAGAGGTGAAAGGTGATAACATGGCAAATTTGAATAACAGTTGTTTTTTTTTTCTTTTTTGTGTGTGTTTGTTTAGACATTCTGGACATGTCGGGCATTATTGTAGGCTATAAAAAAGTCAAAAAAAAAATGAACAGAAGACAATAGAATGGTTAATTAGCTACAATTCGAATTTTCATACAAATCACATATTATTTCAATCATGTAATAGATTTAAAGTAACCTAATTTAACGCTGCGTTCATTTGAGCGCCTGGTCAAATCTCGACGCTCCCTCGGCGGCGCTTCCGTATTAAGTATCCCATAATGCACCACGTTGCTGTCATGGCTGCTCACTGATGACACTTACAGCACATGGGCAGAAATCAAACACATCAGAGTGAGCACACGAGCTCTTCGCAATCGCATCTCACGTTCACACAGAGCAGGTCTCGAGCGACGTGACGCTTGTTTTATTTCTCTTCTGAGGGTTGACGAGGACGATGATGCTGCAGCTGGAGGCGGCGGTTCTGGGCGGACTGAGTCCGGGTCCGGACCTGAAACAGATCGGCTTCAGCACCGCAGGTAAGAGACAGCGGCAGAAATCTTACATCATGTGCTTTTGAGATGACGATATTGGCTGATGTTGATGGTTTCGTCCAGCTATGGATAATAATACGGGTTTGGATCTACTCGGTTATTGTTGTGGATGTTTTGCGTGCTAGTTGATCAGTGTTTGCTGGACGCAGCAGTTATTCTCACGTGGTTTAAATGTGCCGCATGTGTGTTGAAATCTCAGCGCCGCGCCGACGCACAGGACTGGGTCCAGACAGACTGTGAACCGAGCGGCATTTGACAACGTTCTGACAGCATAACTTCTGTATCTGTGTTATTGGAGGATTTGTGTGGGCATCTTTTGCGCATCGGACAGCCAGAAACATGAGGACAGATGCCTGTGTTTTCTATTGATGTCGAGGTGAGCATGTGCACGAGAAAAATACGCGCTGTTATTTAGCTCACAGTTTTAGAACAAAGCCGCATACACAATCATATGTGGCCGTGTTGATTTAAGTGGGCGTTCACTCAGGAGGACGTAAATAACAAGGGCTCAACACATTTGAGTTGTTTTATTATTATTTTTTTAAATTAGCGGAACTTATTGAACGCATATACTTAATATTATTCTCTCGAAATAATGTTGTTTAAATTATTGTTCCATTAACTGTTCCCCCGAAAGTAATGATGCGGGCGGACGGAACGTAACAGTGTACTAAATACACTGGCAGTGGCAGTGTTACTTTTACGACTCAGCGGCACCGCAACACCACTATAGATTATACTGCAAGCATGCAGTGCGATTCTCGAACGCATGATTTTAATGACCAATAGGACGTTACATTGTAGTTACATTTCGAACGAATGACTGAGTAATCAAATAAAAGTCTGAATAAAAGTCTTAAGAGTCGATTCTCGAAGCAAATATAGTTGTTCCAGACAAATGACTCTTTTAGCCGGTTCTTTTTAGTGAATCAAAATACAGCGTTGCTAGTCCGGTTCCAGAAAAAAGATAATTAAGGGTCGATTCTTGTAGTCATTCAATCATGAGGGCGTGTCTCAATCCGCTTCCGAGCGAATCAGTGTATCTGCCAATGATTAAATGTAAATGTAATGTAAACAACTCACTGATTAATAATAATAATAATAATAATAATAATAATAAAGAGTTGATGGCACCCATTGACTTCCACAGTTTTTTCCCTTCTCTACTATGGAAGTCAAAGGGTGCCATCAACTGTCTGGTTACCAACATTCTTTAAAATATCTTCTTTTGTGTTCAACTGAAGAAAGAAACTCGTACAGTTTTGAAACAACTTTACATTTAAAAAAAATTTTGGTGAAGTATTCCTTACAAAAATGTGGCTTAATTTCTGGTAAGGGAGCATAGTGAGCATTGATGCTTCCTGGTTTTTGCGGTGCATTGTGGGATATTTTTAGAGAGCAAGCGGTCTAGTGCACTGAAAGGATTTTGCGATTGATACCCTGGCCTGTCCCAAATGGCACCCTAAGTTCTTGCAGTGTGTCCTCATTTTTTGACATAATGTCGCTTTG